GTGAAACAACATCTAGTGTCTCAGACATGTCTATTTTTCTTTGTTATGTCTTCAACTATCACCTGACTGCTCGATTCCCTCTCTCCTAGTCTTTACATGTCAATGCATTGGCTTTATATCTACTCCAAGTTGTTTAAAAGTAAAGTGAAGCAGCTGAAAACCTGAATGAATTGCGTTCCTTTGGTGGAGCCGAGCTCTTAATGCAGTTTGTCGTGAGGACCAGAAGTCACAGATGCAGCCTCAGAAGTTCACGTTCACACAGAAGATTTGACTAAACCATCTGCCAAATACACTGAATAACAAAGTGAGAATTGATGCTCTTTCACATCAAAGGTTGGTCACAACAAATACAGATTTTAATGAAAATAACAAACCTTGAATGCCCATTGTCAATCTTTTTCTTTTCGTTGGTTGTATAACTCTTGTTGTCCATCTGCTTGTTAATGGCTGTGACGGATAAAACGCTGCAGCACAAGACAAACAGATGCTTTCTGGCACTTTGGCTTCACAGTCGGCTTCATCACGAAAGTCTTGTGCCAAAAACCAAGCCTCCCCGCAAAGGACACATGGTTTCTAATGGTTCTGAAATGCTCCAGCAGAGTTTACAGACTAAGAGGCATGTGTGATGGGGTAGCAAGAGCAGGAAATCTGCAGCTAATATATAAAGTTCACATGTTCTGTGTTTCCCTGCGTCTTTCTTTTAAACACACGTTTGTCTAAGTTAGCAGAGAGAAACAGGCCTTCATAATTCATCATCCAGTCTCTGGGGATACAACCAATGCCAGCTTAGATTTTCATTCAGCTGCATGTTAACTCCACAGCTGTAGCTTCGTTTACTCTGGGAAGAGCCTGAATGTAAGCGGAGAACTCCAAATAAATATGACAACCTGATTAAAAAAATTAAAAAAAATCTCCAAGAGTGACGGGGTGGAAAGTTGTGCTGTCTGTAACATTTATTCAGAAATAATCTTAGTGATAAAAATATAATTTTCACTTACTGTAATGTAAATAAGTTCCACATTTGAGTCACTATCTGGCTGCTCCATCCTCCAATGTTGAGCCAGATCTTTGTACATGTTTGAGGCAGAACCGCAACATTGCACTTGATGGCTGAAATGTGACACATCCACCTGCATTCTTCATACACTCTGATGGATGTGTTTGTTTTGATCAGATTCACTTAAAAAAATATATTAAAAAAAAACAAAAACATGATGCATTTGAATGTGGCAGCACCAGTGTATCCAAATTGTCCAAGTTCAATTTTTACCCCCAGCGTCCTCCAAAGTAGAGGTGCCAGAATTCATCAACATCCATTATCCTTGTGTTTTCACCTAAAATTCAATTCAGTTCAAAAATACTTTATTAATCTCAAAGGGAAATTACTTGTTGTAGCTCATCCTGGTTTCATTAGAGTTATAGATGCTACTGGCTGTGGGCAGGAAGGACATGTTGTAGCGGACTGCCCCACAGTGGATCCGAAGAAACTAGCTGCAGATGACAATCCATTCACCCAGACCCAACGGACCTCTCGGTCCTTTTGAGCAATGGCTAGTCCTCCCAGCAGCCTGCTGAGCTCGTTGCCGCAGATGAAACTGCAGGTGCCGGGGGACGATTTCGGTTCTCCCGCTGTCACAGGCCGTGTTTCCAGCCACCTCCAAGATCTCAGCGGTCAGGCACTCGATCACTACCTCCAGGTAGACGAGAATGCATCCATGGTGCCTCCTTTTCAACTCATTTGGGATTCAGAGATGTAGTTGAGGTATTATTTGAGCTTTTGAGATATGGCAAGAGGCAGACGCCTCCACTGGTTGTTAATTGTTTGGAGACAATCTGAATCCTGCACGTCAACCAATCGAGACAGTTGTTCCATGAGTGGAAGCAGACGGATGCTCTGCTCGTGCCATGCCAATCTGTAAAACAACAACATCCCACTGGTCGGACATGCGTTTGGCTATCATTAAATAAAGTTGTCATAGGGTACAGGAGGGCTTCTGAATTTTGTGGTTCAACTTGACAAAGCTCTTGAAATTCAAGGAGCTCTGCAAAGAACTTCGCGCTGGTTTTAAAATATCTTTACATGTCTGGTTAAATCCTCACATTGACGAGGAAGTTTGCAGCTTCACTTACACAAAGATGTAAAGAGTGGCAAACAGCGCTGCACTGACACCAGGAGAATCAACTTTCAGACTGGAAACAGAACCGTTTTCTCCCCATCATGCGTTGCAGCCGTCTGACCCAAACCCCACTATATTTTCAGGTGACACACTTGCATCGGTGAATGACTTGATAATATCCTGGTAAAGTCTTTTTGCTGTTGCTCCCTCGTGCCTGTAACGCGTTTGTCTATTACAGGTGTCTTTGTGTGGCCAAAACTGAGACGCTGTGCAGTTTCTGCATCTTTAAATATGTTGTTTTTTTTTAAACAGCCACTAGATCTAAAGGCACACATGGCAATGTTGTGCTCTGCCAAGAAGCATGCTAGCTTGACCTTTGCCGTTTTCATGGCTGTGTCTAGCTGAGCCTTTTCTGATGTCTCCTGCAAGCATTCAGCTATTGACTTCTGTGCTGGGACCAGACATTGCTCATTTTCTTGATGCTATTTAGACCTGGCGTGATTTTTTTTTATACATCAGTAATCTCATCCACCATTTGTGTATTACAACAGCGACTAAAAGCTTTTGTCCATCTACAGATTTCAACCTTCCTTTACAAATGGGGTCCTTGTCCCATTCCTTCCTGTATATGGACATTTACTTTTAGCCTCCGCCACTTGCATCTGCTGTCTCTCTCTCTCTCCACAGCTCACAAATGCACCATTTCAACCTCTTCAGTAAGGGAAGTAGTTATTGGCTATCCCAAATAGCCACCATAAGTCACTAAATAACTTCATAACCTAATTTGCATAACGGGCCATAGTTGAATAATGTCTTGCAAGTGTCTTTCACAATTCACCGCCCCTCGTGTGCCAGTCGCACGTTGTGTTAATTTAATCATACACTGAAGTGGTCGGATTATCACACATTATGGGATTTTTGGAATTATTGATCAGACAGCAGGCAAAATTATTGTACATGTGGCAACACTGCTCCAGATTCACAAGTTATGCTGCGTTCAAGGCTGGTGAAAAGCTGGGACATCTGAATCTTACCAGACATACTGAGTTATTGGGAATATAGTACTTATTAACTTGGCACAACTGCTCTTAATCCCTATATTAAAACAAATATGCTTTGGTTATGCAGAGGTTATTTCCCTTTACGTTTAGAATATTTTGAGGATGACAAAATATTTGTGCCCTTCATCTAACTCAATTGTTAACAACTGCCTTTTAAGGATTGAAAATGTACAAAATATTTTTACATATATGCAACAATTGCTTTTGACTGAAATGAGAAGGGGATGGTCAGATTGAAGTCAAAGAAGTGTCACATTTCTGCTCCGTTTCTTCTGCCTGTAATATTTTCACTGTTTGTATTGCATGTACAGTATGACATTTTCTGTATTAACTAAGAGCAGCTTTTGTGTTCTGCTGTTATTGTATGAATTTCACCTTAAATAAGTGCAATTAAATTTACCCTTTGAATGGTTTAAAACTTTTTGAAGTCTTTGATGCATCATAAATTACACGTCTATGAGTCCAGCATAAACATCAGAATTGACAAATAGAGCAACAGAAAAAAAAGAATAAATGCAACATATCTCAAATGTGGTTTAAAAGGATAGCTCTGTCATTGTTGAAGTGATGTCAAAAAATTATTAATATTTATTACCTTATCAGATGCAAGTCACAAAAGTATTCAGCCATGCTATGCTAACAGCTAGGACCAGTTTTTATAGTTTTTAAGGCTTGAAAACATTCTCAAAAACAACATATGCAAGTGAACGAACGCGACATTAGCTAATATTACTCCTTTACACTTTTACACGACACTGATCACTTAACTGGTCGAGTGCTTTTCCCCTCAACTAAGCATTTTTTTTGCACCATAACCCAAAAATATAAAATGGGCAACTGTTTGGCTAGCTATTTGCCTAGCTGGATGGAGACTTCTGGTTTTTCCAACATTTTTCAGTCGGGTCATCTGGACAGTTTCTTTTTTTTTTGTGCTGAAACGTTTCGCCTTCAATCCAGAAGGCTTCATCAGTCAAGGAAACACACAACACAAAACTGATCATTTCCATTGCAAGCCCTCTTCCTTGTTGATGGCCGTGTCAACAACTGTCAACAAGGAAGAGGGCCAGCAATGGAGGAGGGGGCATGACAAAGAGACCATCTTAGCACCAACATAACTGGTTTGTTCCACTTTGGCGTAAGCTGTTGGGGGAAGAATCAGTTTTGTGTTGTGCGTTTCCTTGACTGATGAAGCCTTCCGGATGGAAGGCGAAACATTTCAGGACAAAAAAAAAAAGAAACTGTCCAGATGACCCGACTGAAAAACGTTGGATTGTACACCTGGATTATTGAGCATGGACTTTGACATCTGGCTTTTCTTCATTCTTCATGATCCATGACTTCACAGCTTATAAAGTACTATTTAACATAACGTCACTTCAAAAATGGCCAGACTATTTCTATAACAAAATCAAACCACATTAGGTTTTTTTTACTTTTTATTTATATGATGTGTTCAAGAAAATAGTTTGGTGTCATATTTCCAACTTCAACACATTTTAAGATTTCTGACTGCATAAAACAAACATTTGTTTTGTCTACTGTAAACAGTAAAAGTATAGTGCACAGGAAACCATAGTAACTTTACTTATCTATGATAATCTAAAGATTTCATTGCCTACAGTTTTGATGGGATCCAATTTCTTCCTATAATTTAGTCCCAGGAACTGATTGTGTTTGACTTGCTCTACAAAAAACAAGCATCGTCATACTCTGGAAATTAATTTAAAGATTTTTTTAACAGATTGACAAGATTTACATCTATAAAACTGAAAAGGTGGGAGAAAAAAAAAGCCACTTTTTTATGTGTCCTTTTTTCCCCACAATTCACTTTAATTTCCAATTAATTCTTTTGGATTTTCTGCGCTGCAGTTGCAGACAGGAGTGTGTCGAGATTTCTCCTAATCTTTGGTTTAACAACAGATTTCTTGTCATCTCTTCAAACAGACAAGTGTTTTATATGAAGCTTAAGGAAGTTATCTCAACAATCTCAATATGAGAAATAATAACTTGCAGCTTCTTGATGAACGACAAACAGAAAAGTGCTGGATGCATTTTGTTTGTTCCACAGCTAACAAGGCTGGAGAGGTCACTGACTGCACCCAGGAGTAGATAAACAGGTGGAGTCATCAGGGGCAGATTGGAGGGTAAAACTGTGGCACAGAAAAGTGGGGTTAAGTGTGTTGACCTGTTCAGACAGAGTTTATTAGAGCACCCATCACTTAATGGACTGTTTGGAAGGGACTTGGTTTGTCAGCTCCTCCGATGGACTGGCAGGGGCAGGTGGAGGGTGGCCATTGTTCAGTAAAGTAACAAGGGGTGTATCTCTTCCCTCTAGCTCCTCATCCTGAAATTTAAAAGGGAAGATGAAAGAAAATACAGTTAAAATTGTTTTGGGAATTTATATTTCTTTTTCAAAACGGGCTCTTCACATCAGTAAAATACATTTAGTTAAATACGGTGGCCTGGAGGGATTTCATTTTAATGTTCAGAACACATCTTACAGTTTTACTGATGCTTCTTTAAAGCTAATATTGACCTGATTCTACATCAACCAGCAAAGTTCAGTTTACTTTCAATAGGCTCGTTTAAAAACTAACATTACCACCTGGCAAATGACATCATCATACAGTAAACCGGTGCAGATTCTGGGGAACTTATAGTCCCTATGAACAATTTACTGAGTGATGTTTTCTTATGCATATTTACAGATTTCTTGTAGAATAATTCAACTTTATGAGGCTAATAAAAGACAACCCACTGTTGTCCATCAGCTCTCCTGAACATCTACATTTTGGCTGATCACTTCACTGAATGCAAACATGGGATCAGGGCAACGTCAGCAATTTAAAATAGTTTTCCAGGAAATTACATACTCAAAGATAGTCATAAAATTTTAATGGTCTGGATGTTTAGATTTGTGACTAAACACTAGGGATGCACGATATCATTTTTGGATGACTATTCGAGAGTTGTCATTGTGTTACGAGAGAATAAATGTCATGAATAGATTTAACATTCAGCATAATCAAAGTTGAACTGTTATATCATTTTCATCCCCCCTTTTCACATCTGCATTTGGTAACAGGCCAAACAGACAAAGACCATGCAGAATAATGTAGTGTTTTAATTCCACAGCAGAGAAAGCCATGTAGTCTCTGGAAGTAGGACTAGAAAAAATAAATAAACAATAGGTATTGGTATCGGTTATTGGCCAAATAAGTTTCAACATATAGGCATATCAGATATCGGCCAAAAATCCAATATCATGCATCTCTACTAAATAACCCCCCCCACCCCACCCCAATTAGATTTTGTGTGGACTTTAGAAAAAGTAAATATGCTAAATAAAGCTGATACAACACAAAGTAATGGCAGCAAAGAACAGATCAACTAAATGTCTATTTGTGAACATTTAGAAACTATTCCCTCAATCTTTAACTGAGACAATACATTCTAGGATTTACAAGCATTATTAATAAAAATGCTCTCAGCTGAACATGTCTACAATATGGAGATGTAAAAAGTGACTGTGCCCAGCCCTACAAATAAGAATTATGAAACACAGTTAAGATGCCTAAAATGCTTTAATATTTTCAAAAAGACCCAAAGTCCCCGAGCGTGCAGAAGTTCACACCGTGTCAGGCGTTTCCTCTCCTTCAGTGTGCTCTCCATAGTGACTGTACATCTCCATGTCAGAGAGGGCACTCTCCAATGCCTCCTCTTCGTAGTCAGTGTGGTACTCTGACCCCTCTGACGGAGGGGAAACGGTGGATGCACAGAAGCACATTGTGGGTGAATAATATGGAAAGTGTGACATGTGGGGAAAAAGAGAAAAGAGTGAGCAGGTGAATGAGCCAGAATAGCAAAATGTGCAAAAAGAAAGTGACGCTGAAAGAAAAACAACTGCTTTAAGTTCAATAAAGGACATCTACTTTAAATAAAATATACAGTTACTTGAAAATGTTCAACTCTACTTTATCGATATTCACCCAATATGTAACTAAGAAAAATAACTGGGAAAAAAAACAGAGCAAATATGAAAAACGTGGAGAAAAAAGGTTAAAAATCCATCTCCTGGCCATCGTGTCAACACACCAAAACGCTTCATAATAAGCGTGTCTGAAAGTGTCATTGCTGAAATGTGTGTCAGGAGATTTACCATCTATCAGTGCAGGTTTGACGGGCTCGATGCGCGACACAATTTCTGCAAGGTCAGTGAAGGAAGCATTGGGACATGTCAACACCTGAAAGACACAAAATCAGCTCATAAAAGGTAAATAAGACCCCAGGTGACATCACTGATTGATATGTAGACTTTAGCTCTGAAGCTTAAAATAGTCCTTTAGCTGCAAGTCTTAGGTGCAAGTGTGTCTTTTTGGTTATTTTTTTTAAGATTTGACTGAGAAACCAAATCAATTAGAAGCATAAAACTATTAAAAAAAAGACTAAATAGTATTTACCTCTACAAAAAGTTGATCATTAAGAGATTCATTCAGCCTTTATTTATACAGGTTAATCTCATTGAGCCTTGGGGACTTCTTTACAAGGCAGGCGTGAAACGGGGATGGGGATTTGTAGAGATCGATTTAGATTTGGAACCGATCCCAAGGGGCAAATTGAGAACTTATTTTTTGAAGCATTTTGCTGCCGACGTTTATCATCCTTGAAGGTTGCCACATAATGCAGCCTCAGGGTTCTTCACTTACTGTCCAGCTGTGTTCCTAGTATGCCAGCTGTCAGGTTGTTTTATTCCTGCACAAAATAATGCATCTTTTTTTATGCACAACGATGAAAACGCAGCAGGCGGCTGATTTTGTAAGAAAAATAAATAAAATTGCGGAGGTAATTTGGATTCTATTTTCTTTACTTCATTCTGTAATAAATACTTTAAATCCCAAAATGAAATTATTTTGTGCCAGAATAAATAGTAAACACTAAAATTATCAACCATAGTGATAAATAAATAATCTGTTGACAAATTGTTGGATAGCTTAAGGGCAGTTTAAGAGAAAAATGAGGTTGAAATGTCCAGAAAATGCGATGATGCATTGGAGTCGAGGCTTCACGTGAAGCATCACAGCTGAACTGTTGGCAGGTAACGTGGATAACTCGTAGGTCACAGTGGCTGAAGTACAGGGATGTTCATTCACAGCAGCAAGTCCAGAATCAAACCATCCATTTTTAACAATCTCTGTAATCATTGCCACTGTTCTGCCCTCAGCCTCCATCTCCCTGTAGAGTTTCAACAGGAAGGAAATGGTTTCAAAATGTTCCTGCAGCCAGGTCTTGGTAAAAATATTACTCCAAATAATCCTGTGTTCTTGTCAGCTCTTCAGTCTTTGCATGTTCTTTTCTACAGTAACTTAGATTTAGGCTCAGTGTTATCAAGGGTGGGGGTGAGGTCTGTCAATAGGACCACATTAATGGGATAGAAAATTGATAGGGGATCATTTCAGCTTTTTGTTTGTTCTCTTAAAATATTACTACATAGCTGCTGTCCTTTAAAAGGAAGAAGATACTACAGATTGTGTCAAAATTGCATCCTGTTTTTCCGTCCCATTTTCCTTCGACAGGAATCGAGGCAGACAGGTTTATGTTTTGTTTGACAAATTTTTCAACAAGTTCTTCAAACAACTGTCTATAAGGATGAAGTGTCCTCTGGACTTCATGGACTTGAAGGTAAAATCTGATGGAGTTTGTTATAATCCCCGACAGGCATCAATAAAAAATATCCATCCATCCATCCATTTTCTTTACCCGCTTATTCCATTTTGGGTCACGGGGGTCGCTGGTGCCCATGTCCAGCAATCACTGTGCGAGGGGCGGGGTACACCCTGGACGGGTCGCAAGTCCATCACAGGGCCACATAGAGACAAACGAGACAAACAAACATTCACTCTCTCACTCACACCCAAGGACAATTTAGAGTTACCAATAAGCCTAACGCATGTTTTTGGACTGTGGGAGGAAACCAGAGTACCCGGAGAAAACCCACGCATGCACGGAGAGAACATGCAAACTCCACCCAGAAAGGCCCCTGGACCGGGGTTTGAACCAGGGACCTGCTCGCTGAGAGGCAGCAGCTCTACCAGTTGCGCCACCGTGCTGCCCCAATAAAAAATAAATTAATTTAAAAAAAGAAAAATTAGCACCGTGTTTTTCACTGTATAAGTTGCACCTTTTTGCATAAATTTGCAAGTCCTGTGACTTATACACTGAAGTGACTAATATACATTTTTTCCCATATTTATAACCAATTTTTGGCTGAGATCTGACCGTTTCATTCATTATGACATGGAAAATATTGAACACTACCATTGTCAGCCACTAGAGGGCCTTCGACCAATAAGGCAAGCCAAGTGTCTCATTAATGGTAAAAGTGGCAATAAATGAGACACTTGACTTGAAGTCACCTTCGTCTCGCTCCAGAACTCCTGGAGCAAACGTCAAATCAGCTGCATTTTACCGCGCCGCCCCGGTGAAATGCAGCTGATTTGTGCATTTATTAAGGAAAACTTAAACTGAGACACACTTTTACTATAATTTCGAGCAAACAAATAATTGTTTTTAAATGTTAATTTTGTTAAATTCTTGTTTAAGTCCTCCCGTGCACGCTTCCGCGGTCACCAATTGGCAGCCAATCGATTTCTGGCACAACACCGGCCCACGTTTCTGGGTGGTCAGCGGTCACGCATAATAGATGTGACTTATATGGCGAAATGGCATATTTATGTTTTTTTCCCACTTTATTAGACATATTTGAGCTGATGCGACTGATACGGCGGTGGAACGTGTACAGCGGCAAGTACAGTAGTTCATCCAAATAAATAATGGTCTGCCAAATCTTCCCCCCCAAAAAAAGATCATGTGAGATATATCCAATTATATTTTCTCAGTTTGACTAAGATGGCTATAACTTTGTCATTAATAGTTTAAAAATGAAAAGTGGCAAGTGATACTCGTTCCTTCAAGGAACACAAGCTCTTTAATTTTCCAAGTTTTGACCAGCAGTGTCATTTTTTTTTTTAGGTGAAGACATGCATTATTTCTCTTGAGAGTTGCATCCTACAGAAACTTCTGAAAATAGACATTAATCGTCTGTGTGGGATGGATATTGTTTTAAAGAATGAGAATGGGAGTTAGTCAGAAGACAGCATCACTGTCTTAATATGCAACAATGGCTTTGTCTTTACTTTCTCTTTAAATGTGCATTTGTTAACAAAAAGGGTTGAATCATGTCATCTGGACTTCGTTTTTTTGTTAAAAAGAAACGTTTCGCCCCTCATCCAAGAGGCTTCGTCAGTCTGAGGCCTAGCCATCTGGTATTACCCAGAAGCCACCCTGACTCTTGTGTTTCAAGCCTGCCTCAGATACCCCTGAAGTCTGGCCTTTTCATTAATGGTTTCAAAAACACAAAGTTTGTTTTCTCAGTCATCCAGGTATATAACATTTATTGTTAGATACCTGGATGACTGAGAAAACAAACTTTGTGTGCATTTGTTAGTTTTTTTGTTCTGGGTGTTGTTGCCGCGATTCTTTACATCAATACTGCTTTCATTTTTTTTCATCCTCTACAAATTACAGTTCAGATAGAGGGTAAATATGTCATTTTTCTTCATCATACGTCTCTCCTCGTTGTTTATTAGATGTTTATCTTTTTAAATATCACTAGGCTAATCTTAATATATTTCTTTGTGAGCTGCAAAAGGAAACTGTGGTTTTAGATGTTCGATTAACAACAATGTGGTTCATGGCCTAAATAATACAGAACTAATAATATTCACTTCTTTTGTCAATTTATACAATTTCCAAGTATTAATTAACCCAATGCTTACATTGCTCTTCCTTTGGATGTTGTGGAAATCCTCTTGGTGTCTGTCTTTCAACATTTTTTCCACTACACCGCTGCGACTCCACACGTCAAACACAGTCTTGCCATGCTGGTATCCCACTTCCTACGACAAAAAACACATCAGTATTTTTCTATAAACTGCTGCCACAGAAGCATAAAAAGCCACTTGACATGTGGAGAAGACTTTTTATTTTTTTAATCACCCACCAGCATGAAATGATTAAGTTATTACTTGTGTCTGTTTGTTAGTTAAATATCTTGTAAACCACTGTAGGGATTTTCACAAAACTCATAGAAAATAATCACTAGATGTACAACTGATTACCGTATTTTTCACTGTATAAGTCACTGTTTTTATTGCAAAATTTGCATAACCTGCAACTTATACACAGAGCGACTTATTTATGGATTTTTCCCAGATTTATAAACCAATTTTTGGCTGAGCTATGGCTGTTTTCAATCATTCTGACTGAAAATACTGAACACTCACATTTTCAGCTGCTAGATGGCAGTCCAGTTGTATGGCATGCCATTCCATCATGTAAAAGGTAAAAGTGGCTATTAATGACGCAATCGGCTTGCCACAGCACCACCTTCGTCTGCCTGAAGCAACCGTCAAATCAGTTTCATTTCGCTGCACCTCCCCAGCTAAATGCAGCTAATTTGACCATTAAAGTGCATTTATCAAGTAAAAGTTCAACTGAGACATACCTTTACTATAAAGTCAAAGTGCATTTATTACTGCGACACACATTTACTATAATTTTGAGCAAACAAATAACTGTTTTTAAGTGTTAATCTTGTTAAATTCATGTTAAAGTCCTCCTGTGCATGCTCCCGTGACCGCCATTTGGCAGCCAATCGATTTTTGGCACAACACCGGCCCACACTTCTGGGTTGTCAGCGGTGATGCATAATAGATGTGGTGTATACGGTGAAGCAACGTATTTATGGATTTTTCCTCTTTATTAGACCTATTTGGACTAATGTGACTTATAGGGCGGTGCGACATTTACGGTGGAAAATACGGTACTTTTTGGAGTCATTCAAGTTAAAGATGACCATTACAGTTAATCAACCAAACATAAAAAATGGAAATAAGTCGCTCAACTTTACAGATATTAAGATAAAATTTGGTGAGTCAACAGATCACACAAACTCTTAAAAACTTTGGCATGCAAAGTTGTATAAAATATGCCTTACTTAAGAAATAGTTTCATTTTGTCGCTGAAATCAAGATCTCTAAAGCAATAATGGATTAATTGCTAAACTAAGCGAGGGAAAAAATGTCTCGGACTTACAGTGATCTCGTCAAACTTGTCAAACTCCAGAGTGCGGTATCTGTCAATCGGAGGCCTGATGTACTCGCAGTAGTCGCTGTTCTTCACAGACTCCAGGTGCCTCACACAGCACACGTAGGCCAGCCGAGACTGAATCTCTGCGATGTTCAACACCTGTTGAAATTAAATTGTGCATCAATAAAAGGCAGCTCTAAAAATACTTTTCTAATTATTCATATGCTTGATTTAGTTTTTTGTATCCTTGTGCAATTTGTTGTCTCGTTTGTTAATTGATTCATCACCTTCACTTTCTCAGCCAGGGGGTTGAAGCGTTTCCATAGCACCCACCAGCCCGAGAGAGCGTCGCCGTAATTAGTGAGGTTGGTTTCATCCCGACTGCCCACGTCAATAGCAATCACCACTTTGGCCCCCATGGAGCGCGCCACATCAGCTGGGAGGAAGCAAAAAAAAAAAGTCAAGAATAAATACATGTTAACTTTATGTCAAGAGAGAAATAATGCTAATTTTTAAAGGTATTATTCTTGAAATTTAACATACCAGGCAGGTTGTTGATGTAGCCTCCATCCATCAGCTGATGCCCATCTTTGGGATCACAGAGAGGCGGCAGATAGCCCGACAGAGACATGCTGGCACGGACATAACGCCACAAAGAGCCTCAAAGAGGAAACAACAAACCCTTTAAATTGTAATTGAAGCACTATGCATTCAAATGAAAATAACCAAACATGAGCTAAATGTCTGTTCAGCAGAGAACAATACTTACCATCAGTGTGTACTCTCATAGCTGATGCAGTGATGTCAGTAGTAATGTTGAAGTATGTGATCCACAAGTCCTGCAATTATAAACATTAATAACATTGATAATAGCAGTGCATTTCTGTACAAGGAGGGAGTTTGTCTGCAAAAACTTCTATTCCCAGTTTTTATATTTTTAGACTCGTTCAACTCACCTCAATCTGTTTGCTGTTGAACACGTTGCTGATGCCGGAGTTGAAAGCAGCACCGGTAAACATGGAGGCGTATGGATATGTGAAATCCAGAGCTTTCCTGAACTTGGATGTCATTTCCTATAGAAAGAGCAAAATGTGAACAAACATTCACGTTTTGATATTTGTTTTCTAATGTAAATAGTAAATGGACTGTACTTGTATAGCACCTTTGTCTTATCGAGACACTCAAAGCTCTTTACACAACAATCTGTGTCCTCATTTACCCATTCATACAGCACTCTACTACATCTATAAGCTAACTGAACAAATCATTCCAAAGACACTCATCAGTGCTTTATCACTTTTATACATTGATGGGACACATAGGAGGCAACGAGGGTCTCAGTGTTTTGCCCAGGGACACTTCAACATGACTGCTGGTGGATTTGAACCCACAACTCTTGCAATGAAGGACGACTGCTCCAACAACTCGGCTACAGCCGCCCAAAGTAAAATACAAATTAAGGCAATCCTTCAAAGTAATGTTTGATATAAATAGACAATCAAGTGGACTTTTTAAAAATTGTTTTATTTATTAATTTATTCTTTTTTTTAACATCTCTATTGATTTTAACAAGAGCACATAAACATGCCCATTCATATAAAAATACATAAATATAACCCCAGACATAATACATAAATAAAAAATATATTTTTTAAAAGCATACCAACCAACAAATTTATCAACACAAAGACCAGTTTGACCAGTTTGTCTTGTCACATGACCTTAAAACAGAATTAAGGCAATCCTTCAAAGTAACGTTTAATATAAAGAGACAATCAATTGGACTTTTAATTTGACTTGTTAATAATGGTTTTAGTTTTGTTTATAGCATCTCCTGTTCAAAAGGCACTAAATGCTGCTATAATTGTACCATCCCAAAAACGTGTGCATGAATTATTTTTTGAAGACGTTTGGGATGAAAGTTGTGATAGATATTATTAATGATTAAACTGAGCCCAAAAAAATATATTGTTGGTATGAATCTGCAACACATGCCTCTCAAGCAAAATTAGTGTTGCTGCTGCTTTGACTCACCATTGCCCACTCCCTGGCCCTGATCCTCATGCGGCTGTGGCTGCGGTCCTCAGCATATAGCGCCCCCATCAGGGCACCCACTGAAGTACCACCAATTAGGTCCACCGGGATGCCCGCCTCACAAAGCGCTCGCATGATTCCCACCTGGGAGCAACCCCTGATTTAGGAGCACAAGGGGGAAAAAATGTGAAGAAAGAAATAGCTTGTGGAATACAATATAAAATATGTTAAATAAAATCTTTTAAATGTTACCTGGCCCCTCCTCCTCCGAGAACAAGAGCAATGGCGTTGCCTGTGAGAATGCGAGCCAAACGGGAAAAGTCAGAGTGGCGGTCTGCTGGCTTCTCAAACACTCTTTGGTACAGTTCCAGCTGCAAAAAAAAGCAGACCAATTGTAATAAAAAGAGAGAATGATGACTATTTAAAAGCGAATGGATGAAACTAATTATGTAGATAAATAAAAAGCAAAATATCACACCTCAAGCTCAGTCTAAGAGTAAATAAATCAAATGGGACTATGTAAACTGCTTTGATCTACACATGAAACACTTTTGGCAGTTTTAGATTCCAACCAGCTTGGGGAGGCTCCTTTTAGAGAAGACTCTTCGGGGACAGGAGAGGTGGAGGTGTCTGGAGATCCAGCTTCGCATGTTGAGCCAGTGCACGGTCCCTTGGGGCGGCGGCCCGTCTTCTCTGTGCAACAGAACCAGCTGCTTCTGGGCTCGCACTGCGCTTCCTTCCAACATGCGCTCCAACTAAGGGGGGAAGGCATGAAGCAGATTCTTGAACACATTTTATGATTTTTTTTTTTTTTACAGTTTCTCCTGTGTAAAGCTGGCACAGGATTCTGAGAACCGTGTGAAAAAAAAAAATACTGAAAGGAAAAAACATTGGCCACTAGAAAAAAAAAAAAACATTAACACAAAACTGGCACTTCTACACGTGGATGCAGTTAGTTTTTTTGTTCGTGTTTAGAAATATTTACTATTTTTATTGGGATGAATAGACCAATTTCATACAACTGTGCCTGCATTGGTATTCTCCAGAGACTTAAAATTTCCTCCCACAGACCAAAATCATTACCTTAAAAAGTTGCTACCGATAATATAAAAACAAAATCTGAATTTTCTACGGAGAACATAATGGAAATGTTATGCAGTTATTTTTGCTTCCTTCATGAGTTCTCCGTTTAAATTCTTAGTTATTTCTAAATGAACAATAGGATGTATTTTATGAAGAGTGTAATAGTGTGAGGATGGTCAAATTTATTTACTGATCGATAGGTCTTTTTCCCCCCACTCTGCTGAAGGTTTAGTGAATGAGCGAGATGAGAATGTGTCCTGAAAGATAAAAACCCAGCCAGTGTTATGACTCATTCTGAGCCAAAGTAAATATTGATCCATCTTTCCACTTCCAGATAAATGGGAACACTTTTCTCCCCATATTGAAAGGCATTTACGTTTCCTTCATAAGCCGTACGAGCACTAAAACATGGAGCCTCTCTTTTATACACCCATCAATGGTACTCTATTTATTGTTTCTAAATTATTAGGGGTCAAAAACAAAACATGCTTAAAAAGTTTGGCCGCTACCTCAACCAAACGTATGGATCTGAACCTGACTCAGCAGCACAATGTTTAGGACTGACCTTCATGAGAGCACAGACACCTGCTTTAACATGTTTGCCTTTTAACACACGTGAAGAGTAATAAAGGTAAAGTAACAGCAAGGTTAAAAAAAATAAATAAATCTGTTTGCACATTGATTTCTTAAAGTGGTACCACTTTACAATAAGGCTCCCCTTATAGATGGCTAATAAACAGTTTATAGATATGTTAATTCCTCTATAAACACTTTATAAATTATTAATACCTGCTTATTAAGCATTAATTAAGGGTGACGAGATTAAACTGACCAGTTTTTTGCCAAATAGTGAGCCAAATTTGTTCACCTACATATTTCATCTAGAGTTGGTATATCAAACATTTCAGACTAAGTTACTACCTTGTAAGCACAATAAGCATTTGTAAACCAATGTCTTTAGCATATAATATTTTACTTTATCACTACATTACAAGTATCTACAACTAATATTATATGCTAAAAAAAAATGTAGGTTTGCAAATGCTTATTATGCTTACAAAGTAGTAACTTAGTTTAAAATGTTTAACAACTCTAGATGAAATATGTAGGTGAACAGATATAGCTCACTATTTTGCAAGAAACTGGTGTTTTGTCTCTGTCACCCTTAATGCATAATAAGCAGTTAATATTCATAAAGTGTTTATAGATTAATTAATAACGTATCTATAAACTACTTATTATTAGCCAGCTATAAGGGGAGCCTTATTGTAAAGTGGTGCCGACAAGAAAAATATAGTCAATGAGCATTTTTAACAAAATAAAGCAACCACTCGGTTAGAAACATCACATAATATTGAATAAGGCTTGTTGAATAAATTAAAAAAATTAATAAACAGCTGCAGAATTGTAGATAGCATTCCTAAAAACCTTTAAAAAAAAAAAAAGGAGCCAAAACCCACTACAGTCAACTTGTTGCTAAGCTCACCACCTACTTGTCTTCCAATTTCTATTTAAAAAGAAAAATAATTTTAAGTCATCAGCTTTCCAGTTCTGTCGAGTCTACTCCAACTGCACGAGAACTCATTTTCAAGAGAGACCTGTTTAAGGAGCAGATGGTGGGGTTAAGGGCCTTGCTCAGGGGCCCAGAGTGGGGCAAATGAGGGTTACCTGTTCCACCCATTTTGATGTTGACTGTACCGGGAGTTGAACCTGCGATTTTTCGATCACAGGCCCATCTTCTCTAATCTCTGCGCCACCACTCCCTCATCTGTCTGGAACATTCGTCTCAGTTACTATAAACTACTCTGTCCAGACGCAGTTTCCATATTGGAAAACTCAATTACTTCATATTTGTCTCTTTTTTTCACCATCCTGAGTAAAAGGGAAGAGCAAGGACCAAATAATTAATAATCAAACCAGCGCACTTAAAACCAGCAAACTTGGCGTAACCATTTAAACTTTATCCCATATCACAAGACAAGTTATTTCATGAAAAATATCTGTTTGATGCATGAATATGAAAGTGTTTGGTATGGCTAACTGGAATGAGTGTGGTGAGAGAAGAATGTTTAATAGCAAGAAAGAAAGAAAAAGTCCTAGTTGCAAAATACAATCAGCACTTAAAACAGTGCAATAAATACAATAATGCAATGAAATCTATCTGGAACCAACAACCTTTTTCAGTTTCACCTCCCTCTCTTGTCTGCAGCTCTCCCTTTCCAGCTCACCTCCCCAACAGCAGGGTCCTGCTCCCCAACTCCCACAATTATGATGCAATCAGCCTGACGGATGCACCGCTGGGTCCACGGGGTCAGTGTGTAGTCAGTCTGGTAAAGAACTATGCGATGGATGTCTTCTTGTTGGCCCAGCCAGCTGGATAATCTGTATTCATGAACACTAAAGCGACGAGTCCATTAATGAGGAGCACATGCAATCGTTTTTTCTGTGGTGCCAACAGAACATGCTTGAAAATAAATTTTAAAAGAAGTTGAAACAGAAAAAACAGCAGATCTTGAGTTAGCTGTATGCTGAGAAAAACAAACTGAATGTGGTGTAATTTAACTGCATGCAGTAACTTTATTTAATCAGTTTCTTCCTCAAAATTAGATTTAAAGTTAAATTAAGAGGAGAAAAAAAATCATCTGGAGCTGGAATGTGTAACACTTCCTTCAGTTTTTAATTTCAACGTGTCGCACAACAAACCTGTCTAGTGCTGCAGCTCCAAGTCTCTGTTTGATGATGTCACTGGTCAGCAGAAGAGTGGGTCCTGCAGAAGATCAGATCGCACAAGCTCAAGATTTTTTTGTTTCTAAATTAGTGGTTGCTCTTTAAAGCCCAGGAAGGTCATTACTGCATAAACTAAAACCCTGTTATGTTAATTAGCCTCTCTTATGGCACCAAGGGCACATAAACAACTTTGAAAGCACAAGAGCAAGACCTGTCCTGAAAAGCTCATTAGCAGATTTAAACAGATGCACACGAACATCTAAAAATGATCAGTAAACAGTGCAGAACAGTTGTAGCGTGGTGGCAAATTATTATTTGGCACAAGGTTACCACAAATGTAATCTGCATAAGTTTCTATTTCTGTCTACACATCACATAAAACAGCTTTTTCTGCTTTAAATTAAGAATATGGCTAATAGCTGTTGTAGCAAACAATAATTGCTGCTGATCTAACTAAACGTTTTCTATTTGAAGATTTTTTTTTACCTTCCTCTAGATTTCACAAGTGGGCATTTATGCAACATTATACAACCTATTGTGAATTTGCTACGACTTTGCTTGAGGATCATATGGATACAGTGTTTGAAGTGTAAACACTTATATTTTAGCTATACAATTATTGTTTACCTATGGCCTGGAGTGCATGCTGCAGCTCCAGAGTGAAGGCAGTCAAAGGCACGTCTTCAGAAACGGGCAGAACTGTCACAGTGGACAGGTTGGAGGCTTGATTTCCTGCATCCCACTTGCTTCCTGGAGTGTGGAGTGCCAAACTCCGTGCTGGACACATTTTACAGAATTGTAAACTTCTCAAAAGGAGCTAAGATTTTCATTAAATACTATTTAATAAAGAAATAAAAAAGCTAAGATACCAAACCATCAGCATATAGATGCTGCAGACAAAGTACACACCTGAAAGAGGGACATTGACCTGCTGGAGAATCTTCTGACCAAGTAAATGGATCAGCCTAGTGACAACCTAAAAGGCAGAAGCTTTTAATTAGACTTCTGCCATCTTCTGGCTGCACGGGGAGGTTTTTTTTTTTTATTCAGTTTATGTGAAATAAATGTCTGCACCCATGCTTTCCTGCAAACTGAACTCATTTCTAGTTTCATGTGTGACACATTTCAAAGTTAATGTTAGGTCCTTCTGAATACCTGCGGGAACTTCCTTTTGATGGATGCGAGCGCCCCCTCTGGTAGTTTGGCCAGCTCAGAATCTCTGACAGCATGGACAGTGGTGGCTCTGTTCTGATGAGTCAGGGCTTCCACCTGCACAACAACAGCAGTCACTTGGTCAGATGACAAACATTACAGTCTAGTATAGCATGCCATGTGTAACCAAATCAATGTAAAGTTTCCATAAACCATACATCATACCCGTATTTTCCAGCATCTAAGTTGCATTTTTTTTTTGCATCCATTTGTCAGTCCTGTGACTTATACACGTTTTTTTCCCCATTTTCATAATAACGCAATTTTTGACTGATGCTTTAAATTTCTAAGAACTGCAAAAGCGAGTCCTCCCGTGCACGCTTGCTTCACTCAGCTGGTGCAGGCGGAGGAACGCTGAAGAGCTAGCGGCTCCGGCTGCGATGGATGGATGGATGGATGTTGCCATGCTGCCCAGACGAAATTAAGCCATTTTGACCATTAAATAAACGCATAATAAATGCGACGGGTCAGCGGTGACACATAAATGAGACTTATACGCCAGAAAATACGGTGTCAGTCAGTGTTAAACTACAACAGATATTAACTCATTCATTTTCAATCTCTCACATTGTAAACATAAACTCACAGACTAACACATGTATGGATACACTCTCCAGCAGTCCCAATCCAGTCCCCTTTTTAAAAATGGGGACCACCACACCAGCCTAACCACTCCACGGGAGTTGTGCCAGCAAGATGTGTGGCAAAGTGTTTTAAATAAGCGTTTCCACATGATAGTCCCTGCCTCACTCCTTACCACTCCAATCAGGTCCCCACGCCCATACTCTCCAATCATCTCCTTCTTGCCGTCCTCCTTCAGGATCACAGAACGCAGTCGACCACTCAGCACTATGAAAGTACTATCCGATTTTTCTCCCTGCCTAAAAACAAAAAACATAGAAGAAAGCTTTCATTTAGCTGGCTTAAATGTGAACTTACATTTGGCCTTTTTGACATCGTCACTTTCTAACTCTGCAGCAGAATACCTGTAAACAGCCCTGCCAGCTTCCACAGCCATCCAGTCAAGAGCAAAATCTATCTGTCTGATAAAATAGGACATCCTCCTGGACACCGTGTGAGCAACGTTCAGGACTACTTTTGGCTCCGCTCGCATTATCCTGAGGAGTTAACGAAAAACCCATGAAAAAATGGAGAGAAAAGACGACACCAAATCACTTCATACTTCACCTAAAATAACTTTGTTAAGATGCAGTAAAAGACCTTAATTGTAACGTGTAACACAATGTTCCATATGCTGCACCGTCACAGTTAAGTGACTGTGACTCACTCGTAGAAGTGGGTTTTGGAAATTGAGAGGAAGCTGCAGTCTCGCTGGGCTTTCACTGTAAATGTGAGGGGCTCCCCGGTCAAGACAGCAAGCTGACCAACAAGCTCTCCAGGGTGTGTCACAAACAGACGTGTGTCTTCTTCACGGTCAATCATGCGCTGGTAAACATGTAGGAGGCCTGAAATCACAAAGTGGATGCTCACCTCCTAAAAAATAAAAACAGAGTTGGGACAAATAAAATTACAATGTGTACATGTCCGGTTAAGTTGCCGATAAAAGAAGTAGCTGAACAAGTTAAAAACTAACAAAATACGCACTCCAAGAATATCTTTGTCTGGCTGAAAGGTTTGTTTGATAAAAATCAGTTTGCTGTATTTTCCCTTTTATTCTGAATCAGCTCCAATCTTAAGAAAACATTAAAACAAGAGTTTCTAGTAAACATTAACTATTAAGGAACCAGGTAACCAGTTATTTTAACAAAACTTTGAAAACTCAAAAGAATTCTCATCAAATTAAAGCCTAGGCTAAAAGAAATTGTAAATTCAGAAGAAAAAAAATGGACTAATATTTCACACAAGGATATTCAAACTGAGAAAGGAAGTAATAGTTTTGTAATTTGTTGTTCTAACCTGATCTCCCTGACGAGCTACAACAGAACCAGCTTTGACATGATGAAGGGTGACTCTGCCCTCAAGCAGACTTGGATCCTGCAAAAATAAACATACACAACGTAAAAAGAACGTTTTTCTAATGTAAAGCCACTTCTACAGATTTTTAAAGAAATAAATCTCCAGTTAATGATGGCATTACCTGCAGCTGGATGATTTCCTGTAGGTCTTTCTTAGCAGCCTGGAGGATAGTGTTGCTTTTACTGAACTGGATAGCATCAGACTGCCCTCCATTGTCAGTACAATGCAACACTTCAGATGGTGTGGGCAGCATTGTCACATTTTTCTTCAAACTAGACTACAGACATGAGAAAGACATGAAGACCAGACAAGCAGCAGAAAAAGGTGCAAAGGTGAATTGGATTAACATCTAACATATACAATCAACTATGGGTGAAGAGAACTACCACAGAGAGAAACGCTTCAACATCAATGGCTCTCGTGGAAATAACAGAAGAGACAACTGCTGTTGATCAAAAACAGTATTGTGTTAGCGTTTTTATCAATTTAAAAAATACCTTCGACACTAATGACCACACCATTGTCCTTGAAAAACTGAATAATATGGCAGAGGATTAGCACTACAGTGGGTATCCAGTTATTTGAATAAAAGGAGACAGTTTGTACAGGTAAACGATGCAAGATCAGAATTTTGTGTTAATGGATGTGGAGTTCCTCAGGGCTCTGTGTTGGGATGAAAGCAGTTTATTTTGTATGTGAATGATCTGGTTGATGTGTCGGGGCTTTTGAAGCGTGTTTTATTTGCAGATGACACCACATTTTTTTGTTCGGATGAAGATATTGAACGGATGTTAGAGATGATACAGGCAGAATTCGTAAAAATATAAACTCTGTTCTAACTTAAGTTATTAAATTCGGGAAAAACAAACTGCATGATATTTAGAAAAAGAAAGAAAATTGTTGAAGTCCCATTTTAAATAGACAGTATTGAAATTCATAGAGTTAATGAAATAAAATTTTGGGTGTCGTTATTGATGAGAAGCTGACATGGAAATCTCATGCAAATTACTTAACAATAAAAATAGCTAAATCAATTGCATTACTGTATAAAGTAAGTTTTTGTGAATGACAAAACTTTGTATATATTGTATAATGTAATTATTGTTCCATTAATCTATTGTATTGAAGTCTGTGGAAAATCATGCAAAACAATTACAAACCCTATTTTTATTTTACAAAATAGAGCTATAAGAATTATTAGGAAGTGCTATGGTGACCCAACAAATATATTATTTCATCAGTTGAAATTATTAAAATATTATATTTGATTGAATACAATATTTTATAAGTCATGTATAAAGCTCATAAAAAATATTACCCCCAAATATTCAATTAAAATTTGTTAAAAATAAAAAGAGTCATTATAACCTTAAGGGAATGGAAATGTTTGTAAAACCTCCATTTAGAACTGGTCTGAAGGAGCTGCGTTGTAAATCAGGGAACAGGATTGTGGAATTGCCTTGATATCGCCATAAAAAATTCTAAAACAATTTATACGTTTACAAAGATGATTAAGTTAAAATTGTTAGGAAAGTATGATGCCATGTGAAAGATGCCTAATATTTTTGTTTTCACTTTGGAGATGTTCAATCCTAAGTTGTTGTTTGTTTAAAGTTATTTAATTTTTTTTTTTAAATAAGGGGCAGATATGATATTTTTTCTTCTCGTTTTTGCACTATTTTCATTCAATGTTTGTTTTTTCCCCCTTTTTGATTAATTAGTCTTGTTTATTTTGTTTCTTTTAAATGAATGAATGAATAAAAAAAATGAATAAATAAAATAAACTTACTTTCTGGGTGACAGGACTCTGTGGAGCTTCATCTATAGTCACTCGAGCTCGTTCACAAGCCATGTTCAGATCAATTCCTGTCACGCAAGACATCAATAAAAAGGGTTACAGGTTTACACAAATCTGCAAAACACCGCACATCTGCTAGTGCTTTTTGACCTGGAAGTTTTGGCACATTTATAAAGACAAACACCATATTTCATCATAATAGACCAAACTAGCAACGCACCTGCACTTTCAGGAGGTATGGAGGTGGATCGCAGTCTCCTGTAGCTGTTTGAGGGACTTTCCTTTAGACTATCTGTTAAAACCAAAGTGTTGATGAATGAGTGTCCCAAAAAAGGCCTAATTTAAAATATATGCGTATAATTGGACCTGGTTCTGAAGTGCTGTCAGTAGACCCTGTAGGCAACTCATCCTGGAAGTACAGCCGACGTGTCACTTTTCCAGACATCGCCTCAGCCATCACGCTGTTTATATTGGACAAAGGCACAGCCTGACTCTCCTGTGAATAAAAGCATTTCTGCTGTTGAAGGATGTTGCAGTCTGCAAAAATGTTTCATTGTAAAACATAAATGTTCATAAAGACTTCAGGGGTTCATGTTTAGTAAATAATTAGGTTTTGCACTTGCTTAAACAAGAATTTAAACTAATATGAATGTAGAGTGAAGGGTATGGAGGACAGAAGGTGACTTAAATAAATAAATGCACAATAATGAAATATTTAATTATGGAATGTGACAAAATGAAATGAACAAAGACATAAGATGTATAATTTAAATGTTAAATACATCATTAAATACATAATTAAATACACAATTACTTATTTCATGATTTATTTAATTAATTTTGTCACATTCCGCCCTCGTGTGTACATTTCGTTATTTAATAGTGTATTTAATAATTTAATTGTATATTTAATGATTTAATGTTGCATTTAATAATTAAATGATACATTTAATAGTTATGCATTATGTATTCATTTAATTTTGTCACATTCCGTCCTCCACAGCAGGGCGACGACTGAATGACCGTGCTGAAGAAGCCAAACAGTTGCTAAAAAAAAGGTGAAACGTTAGCTAAAAGCTAAAAGAAGCAAAAGACTTGAACAGCTGCAAGCAGAAAAATGTTAGCGAGAAGTAGCAAAGGGCTAACAAAAGTGGCAAAGTCTAACTAAAATAGCAACAACTATTAGGTGTTGCAAAAAGTACCGTATCAAAAGCTAGCTAAAAGAAGCAGAATACTAGCTGTGAGATAAAAGGAGCAAAACATTTTTTTTAAAAAGCCAAAAGTGGCAAATTTGTTAGCTAGTATCTAAAAGTAGCAAAATACTAACTAAAAATAGCAAAACGCAAGTGACCAGTAGCAAATGTAGCAAAAAGACTAACTAAAAGAAGCAAAACGGAAGCTAAAATCTAAATGCTTCAGAAGGCAAGCGAAAAGACAAAGTCTAAAAACTAATTCAGCATAAGACGACACAAATAAATCAGGTATGTTGCAGAGAATTTCCAAAAAAAAAAAAAATTGTTTTGAAGGAAGAGACCTCAATGTTACAAAAAACAAAAAGTTACCATATCCCCCATTTCCTGACCGAGTTAAAATTTTTTATATAAATGGCTAAAATATCAAAGTATGTGGGAATATATCGCAAAAAAAGATACTGAAAAACAAAAACAGGTGAACAAATGTATGAACGCTGGATGAGCATTTATACAATAATGATAAAGTCAGTGGCAAGTCAGGTTTAAAGGTTTCTGTTGGCAGTTTGCGCAGAAGGGTTTTATCCATTACCATTAATAATTCACTGAGCTACAGGAAAGACAAAGTTATGATGCTGCGCTTAATGATGTGTGAAATTCGACTGAGCGCGATCAAGTGTGCATGCGCATTTCAGAACGTCGCTGTGTGTAATGTGATCAAAAGCAAAGCTTAGGTATTCAGTGTGAGCCGCACGGCGCAACTGTGTAAACACACAAGTATTTGTGTGCCAATTAATTTGCCTCCTACCGGATTGAAGAGCTCGGTCGTTAGGCCCAGATAGTTATGTAATGCCAGAAAGGTCACTCTCTGGAGTCGCACCATGATTATCTGCAACAGCAGCGAAATCAAACTTCAGCAGACCGAACTGAGAGGAAAACATTCGTTTGCAACCACCTCGACATTTGGTTAAAAAAAAAAAAAGCAATTTATTTATGCTTGCATGTCCACTGTTGGCCAGTGTGTTACCTGGATGACACGCACAAGAGTCTCTGGATATTTTTTAAAAACTGACTCAAAGGCTGATGCAGGTAAACGCAAGATGGTGGAGCGAGTTGCAGCCCGTGTTGATACAGTCTTGTATGGAGCTGGATATCCCTGGAAATAAGCACAAATTTAAAAATAGAAAGCGCACAACACAAAAATTTAACACATAAGGGTTAACTGGTCTAAGACTGAGTCACCTCTCGGTTTATTATGTGTACACACTTGATACTTTGAAACAGTACAAATATTTACAGTATAAATAACAAGATATGGTTTTAGTGTTTATACTTGACAAGTCCTTAAAAAGGTGTAATTTTACAAAATAAAATGTTTTTTTTTTAAACTGTGCATACTTGATTACCCATGAAAGACAGGTGATAGTGCAATTTAATTGTGATGCTACTTTCATTTATTCTGCTTTGCCATATTTGCAATTATTCCATTATGTGCATTCTGACAATATACAGTCATGATTTAACTTTTTTTATTATAGGAAAACAACCAAAAAATGATGAAGTTTATAAGTAAGTTTCCTCTGAAGGCAATTTCCTGTGTGATTTAGCTGACTCACATGCATATGATGGGTAAACTAACTGGACTGAAACAAATCGGGGTACAAATGAGGACAGAACCTAGTCTGATGTGCATTAAGGGAATAAATCAGCAGCTCACAGTGATGATGTCCAGAATACTGAGCAGGCTGTGGACGCTGTCTCCTGGAAGGACATCCTTTACCACTGATTCAGTGCCATCCTTTACAAATTAATTTAAAAATACATTTAGAAAACAAAGTATTTAATCACTGATATATATATGAAATGCATTGGTACAAGTCAAACAAAAAACATTCGAAAAATTGCAGAATCTGTTGGATTTTTTTAAATTTTTATGTCTGTGCCTCTGCTGTTCAAGTTTTCCACAAATTATTGCAAGATCGTAAACTTCACTGCTCATTTATTTGCTTCACAATTTACCATACTAAATATTATTACAGTAGCTGTAGTAATGTAGCTATTTTAGTTTCTTTTTTTATACCATTTTCTTCCATTTAGTTTTCAATTCATATGCATTTTTTATGATTGTCTACTGTTGTCAGCATTAAAACAGGTCTCTCTTGTAGAGTCCTCGAGGCTCAATGAGATTAACCTGTATAAATAAAGGTTGAATGGAAAAAAAAAAAAAAAAAAAAGTGTTACTGAACAGTAGAACCATGGTTGTGGATGCGTTAGCTCAGTATAACCTTCAGAATTATATACTGTTACCATAAACATGTAAATATGAGCTATCAAGAAAAATAGAGCCACTGTATGAGGAAAATCAAACCTGAAACCAGCTTCGGTGCTAAACTGATCAACAACAAAAAAAAAGTTTCTTTCTTACATTATCTTGGATGCAGAGTTCTAGTCGACCATCCTGGACCACATATATGCTGTCATCATCATCTCCCGGCCTGAACATGACTTCTCCCTCCTGCAGCTCAATAAACACCATGTGGCGGCAAAGCTCCAGAAACAGAGGCTTCTCAAAATGACCCAAGACCCTACAAGAAGTTGACGAACAGAAACCGTTAGAACAGCTAAAAGACAAGCACCTAATGTGAAGGGAAACTCGTACTTGTTTACCTGACATTTTTCAGCATATAAAGAACCTCTGATGGAAGGTTGGAGCTCTGCACATCAAACTCTGTTAAGTCTGCCTCTAGCAGGGATGGAGGGGGTTCCTTATGCTGCAGGGTGGGAGGGTCTTTGCGAATCCTCAGAATTCTGTTGGGACAATGGAATATCAGAAGACAAAGTAGAAAAATCAAATCATCAATACAAAAGGAAAACTCTAAATAGATTTCTGAATAGCTATAGAAACGGTGCATACTTGCGAGCAATGCTCAGAACTTTGGTACGTTTGCGTATGCGCTGCTTTGATACTGAATTGGAGGAAGGGGGAGTAGAGGAAAGTGTTTGGACCTTTGAAAAATAAAAAATGTTTGTTATTCTTTGAGGTGTGGACAACATTACTGAAGGGCTACATAGAAAATGATTACCTTTAGAAATCACTTTTTGCCCATCAGATACATTTATGTCTTACAATAAGAGTGCACTGTAACAATCAAAGTTACAAGAAAATGCTTAACTTTGTGTAGAGAAATGTAGAAATGTGTACAGCATATCTTTTGGCCTAAATATTTTAAATATTACTCATTAAAATGTCAAAGACTGGTCAAAGAAATCATAAAATGAGAAACAAAGTCCACAATAAAGTGTCCTTAAAACATTTGTAAGCTAAATTTGTGAAACGTTACCGACAACCATGTTTTTTTTTTACTCACAGAAACAGCCAAAGTGACTGAAAATTAGTAAAAAATGCCAAAGTCCATGGGAAAGCCGTTTAGGATGGTAAAGTCCAACTATTTTACTATATCAGTATATATTTATGCTCAGATATGTTGAGTAAATATGTAGATAAATGTCCTATGTATACATCGAGTGCAAAACTACATTTCAGGATTACAAAACAACATATCTGGAAAACTACTGGAGTAAACAATTTCAACCTGCATTTGACACAGTTCAGAATTTCCTTTATTATGTTTGATTTCAACGAGTATCTTTAAATCCACTACATTAAAAATTTGTCTTCAAACATGTTGACTGAATTACAAAATAGCAAGAACCTTTCGCATTATCTTCCTTCCATAGAAGAGCACTTTATCTCGTTTTCTGAAGCGATACCGAGGCACACCAGGCTGCTGTTCACCTAGTCAGAAAAATCAAAACAGAAAATGCAAGTAAAGTTAGGTCAGGCTGACATATGAGGGGAATATTCTAGGGGTGAACAGATTTTGATATAAAAAGAAATGTAAAATATCAATATACATATATGTATAAAGCTCAGAATGACTCTGGAAGACTCACGAGCAAGTTTGAATTTTCTGTAGAGGAAGAACACCACAATCCCAATCAGTATGACTGCAAATGCAGCTCCAATCAGTACACCTGTGAGCTAGATAACAGACAAGAGGAAAAAATGTGGTCGTGTGAGAAGTCACCAGTGTGTAGCTGCACACAAGACATTAAAGTTGCAGCTTCAGTCGAAAATGTTCTCTGTGTGTTTGCATCTACAACAAATCATTTTGGAGACAACCAAAGTCTAGATGATCACAGAAAATCTGTATTAGCAAACACAAAAATGACTAACACGGTCAATTTTACAATTATTGAGATAAAATTAGGTGTTGAGAACCATCCCCCCAACACAGATTCTGGCTGTGACACCTTGACATTGCATGAGAAAGCATACATTATCTTCATAGTTGGACTAAAATAGCTTTAACTCCCTACCCTGTCATCATAAGATGATCTTTGTCTAAAGCTTTTGGCATGAAAGGCAACAAGGAATGCACGTAGCTTAAGTCCAAGTAGAGTTTGAGAATGCAATGTTATTTCTTTTCTTTTTCTTCACCAATATAAACTGACTAAACTGTCCAATCGTAGAAATCATCCAGGGAATTACACACAACATAGGATGTCAGTGAAAACATTTCATACCATGGTGGTTTGCATCCTCTCTTCCACAAACTGTTGCACTCGTTCTTTCAGGACACTCCTGCTTGTCATCAGCATCTAAAACAAGAATTTCGGTTTACACTAGATCACATGTCCAAAAACTAATGGATTTCATCCACCTGTCCTGAAAAATCGGAATAATTCAAGAAAGGCTACCTTATCCCATGTCTGTTCTGTCACGTATCTGAACGTTGTGGTGCTTTCCGAACTGGGCCACTGGCACAGGTCTCCATCGTCTCCAGTACACGCCATCCTGTAAGACACGAATCCGTGCTAACAACAAGGCTCGATATATACGAGAAGAGATCAAATTTCATGAAGCAAACTTGGGCTGGCTGGACAGGAAAGAGAAAACACAAGAATGAGGAATCAATTCTGCTTGATTAGCAACATTCGACAGCTTCCCTCGTCATCTAACAGCTATAAATCTAGATTTTATTCCATGAAATTGGAAAATAATAATAATCTTAGCCAACAACGGAGTCGGTGCCTAACAAGAATGTTGTTTTGAGGAGGTCAAAAAGCTTCTTCGTTACCTCGCCGAAAACATTAGAACGTTATAGCTAGCAGCAGTGGTGAACCGACTAGCTAATATTTATAAAACATAAACAGCTAAAGTTCACTTTAAATTTTCGAGTTAAGAAATTCAGCGTAAAAAGAAATAACTGCACTTACTCTCCGAGGATTTCTGTGACGCTGCTTCAGCCAATTTACATCGCTGCAAAAACAATTAAGTTAGCGTCGTGCTAACAAAGTTTTCTTTATGCAGTCACTCGCTTATCTCCGCCCCTCTCCACTGTTGCCATGGTATCGCTCGAAGCGCGTAGCCAATCAGAAACCGGGAAGACAAGTCTCGTTTACCGGAAGTCTGTTTTTCTGTTTACGGTTCAAACTTCCTGTCTTGACCTGAAACAAAGAAGCCGGTGATGAACTTGAAAGATATGTTAACAATTTCACGTGTCATGTTCTTGTCGATTTGTCCTTGAAAATAAATTTAAAAAATATCACAGTAGTGCTTTTTTTTTTTTTTTTTTTATCTCAGTTTAGCTCCAATTTTCTATTTGGGGTAATTCACAGCCTATTTTTAAACAGCACATACAGTAAAAAAAAAAAAAAATTGGTACAAATAAACCTTTTTTTTCAGGGTGAAATTATCAATCAAGATAAAAGTTCTAATGTCTTTTATTTTAAAGAAACTCATGACTTTTTGTTAGTGGTCCTGATTGACTGCAGCTGGTTGTTTTTCTTTGCCAACATTATAATGATTTTTTTTTAGATAGCACTTATTGGATTGATCAAAACTCAAAGTGGCAGTTCAAGAAAGTCAGTGAAAAATGTAAGAAGGAAAAACAAATACATAGCATGTTAAGGTAAAAAAAGAGAAAAAACAAAGGCCTGCTATGACCTGGAAATAGTTGAAACACCAGTGTCGACGTCCACAATGAAACCACTTTTACAACCATGGATTGCATGGTTTACCAAGAAAAAAAGACCAAAAATGTTCCAAAAGCAACACCTTTAAACAGAACTCAAACTTATAGCCCACGTGGACAAGCCAAATGTCTCCTGGAGAAATGTTTTATGGTCAGATGAGGCAACAACTGAGCTGTTAGGCCACAATAACTAGAATTAAATTTGTACACGTCAAGGTGAGTCTTTCAAACACAAGAACACTGTATCAGTCAAGCATGGTGGTGGTAACATCATGCTGTGGTGTTAATGAATGGGACAATGTAGAGTGAATAATGAAGGAAGTCCACCTACAAATTTTTCATTGTCACCTCAAATCAGAATGTTAGATGGTTGAAACTTGGACAAAATTAGGTGTTCCAGCAGGAAAGTGGTCCAAACACTGCCTCTAAACTGCTGCAATGGCCTGTTCAAACCCGACTTTGACTTTAACCCTATTAAAAAATTGTGAGCTATACTTGAAAGTTAGACTCATTTACCAATAAATAAATAATTGAAAACTCCAAGTTACCATAACATCCATGCCTATGCTGAGTGGATGTAACATGTTGACTGCAACATGCACTTGTAGTATAAATGATTTGACTTGTGTAATTAGGCCTGTTTGTTTACCTAAATACTTTACTTGGTCAATTAATGAATCATTTTATTTAATATCCAATAAACAAAAAGTTGATCGAGAAGTAAGGAAGTCAGGTATATTTTTGTAAATTGCACATGAAGTCATGAAAAAATAATAATTTAAACAATATTCATCAATGTTAATCATTACAAATGATAATTTTACAATAAGCATTGTACACACAGGAAGTCAAAGTGTAACATCACACAAAATTTATTAAAATATGCACATAATTTATTTCTTTCACCCTGTTTCATCGTTCAGTAAAGTTTATGTTATACATTACTGTGTGAATGAATCACTACTGTCATATAATTCAACTTAGTTTAACTTTAATATATATATATATATATATATATATATATATATATATATATATATAATTATTCTAATATAAAGTTATGTCTCTGTGGTGATGCTAATGTCTGAACATAAAATACTGAAACATGCAAAAAATGAAATATTTATAGCTCTCACGTACTGATAAACACACACAATGAGACACAAAACAAAATTCCTGTGGGATGTTTTCCTACTCTTTGCAGGTCATGAAAAATAATTCCACATCTGTATATTTCACATTACATCTGCCTCAGATATATACAAAACACTTAAGGAAATAATGAAACACGCAGATGTAAACATTTAAATCAAACCCTCATTTTCATAATTAGGATATAAAGGTTAGTTAGGGTTTCAGCTTGTCACCATAAGTATGATTTTCTTTGTTTCTGTTTATTTTTACTAATTTTTTTCTTCCTTTTTTACTCCCTGTTGACCTATTATTTCAGGTATTTGGCCACAGATTTGTACGCGTTGAGAATCTCTGAGTCGTTTGGGCAGGTGCACCTAAACACATCCTCCTTGTAGACTCTGTCCAGGTAACGTGTCAGACCTTTCAGCTCTCTGGGCATGTCAAAGTTACGGTACAGCTTGCACACCACCTGAGGGAAAAAAAAAATTAATATTAGATTTTAAGGAAAAAGGATGCAGTTTGCGTTAGAAAGGTCATTTGGCATAAAAAAAATAAATTGCCAAATCTTTCATGCAAGTTTGTGCAGCCGAAAGGACATGAAATATTTTGCTGACAGGCAGTTAACTTCAATGTTTTATTAAAAAAGTTTGTACTCAGAGTATGTGTTGAGAATGTCTCACACAAAATACATTGTAGCCGAGTATTTTCAAACTTAGTAGAGATGTAGCCATTTTAGTGCTTGATGAGTTTATTTAACTTTGGTGGCCACCTTGATTGGGGTTGACTCTAAAAGTTAATTAGTAGATGCGCATCCTATGGTAACTTAGAACGTTTTATTAAAATATGTGCAGTGCAGACAGACAGACACTCAGAGACATACCATACCATACCATACCATTCCATTCAATACCATACCACACCATACCATACCATACCATACCATACCATTCCAGACCATACCATTCCATACCATACCATACCATTCCATTCAATACCATACCACACCATGCCATACCATTCCAGACCATTCCATTCCATACCATTCCATTCCATACCATACCATTCCATACCATTCCACAGCATACCATACCATTCCAGACTATTCCATACCATACCATTCCATACCATTCCACACCATATCATACCATTCCAGACCATTCCATACCATACCATTCCATACCATTCCACACCATATCATACCATTCCAGACCATTCCATTCCATACCATACCATTCCATACCACTTTATTTATAAAGCACTTAACAACAGCAACAAGGCCAACCAAAGTGTTGTACAGCAAAAGCAAACAAGCAAAGCACATAGCAAAAAGGACATAGTTCTAAATACGTAAAGATAAGAACTAAATGGCTAACAATGTAGAATACAGACAAGTTAAAAGTAACTCACACAGCGTCAAAAGCCAGGGAATAAAAGTGCGTTTTCAAACTAAGCTTAAAAACAGTAAGAGAGGGGGCCTGCCTGACATGCAGTGGTTGAGTCATTCCACAGTTTTGGACCTGCAACAGAGAAAGCTCTGACACCTCTGAGATTAAAACGAGTGCCTTGAACTAGGGATTGAATGGACTAGTGGACTCGTCGACTAGTCGATTCTAGGACATCTCGCGAGTTTTTATATTTCACGTCGACTAGGCGCAGTCACCAACACCCGCCCCACTTTTCCCAGCCCTATTCCACTCAATCCACTTGTTGGATTAATTAAAATAAAACTAAAAACAGTGGGCAGTAGAGCTGTAATTTCTAACATGGCCGTGCCCAGCCCGAGCCAAAATAATGTGCTGGATGGGCGAGCTGACGGATGTGCGCGGCTGACGATCCAATTTGGATCACCACAGCTGTGCTGACCAGCCGGTTAAAAGACGTACAAAAAAAGTCCAGATGGATGGCTGCCGGCAACCCACCTGAAGCTTACCAGCCAGCCAAGGACCATTAATAACAATAATAACTATAATATTATAAGGTGCTCCACTACCGCCCGCCCCACTGTCCTCAGTTCCATTCCACCCAGTCCACGGTGGTGGATTAAATCAAATAAAACTAAAAACAGTGGTTCTTAGCCTCGTTTTTTTACATGGTGCACGTTTCTTTCACTTTTGCAGCTTAATAATAGTTTTGGTTTTCCAGTGACTTATCTGCAATATGATAAATGGTAGGAGCATAAAAATACGCCCGATGTTTTGTTGTTGTTTTTTTTTGTAAATACTAAATGACGTTTTTTTTGCAAATTGTTTTTTCCCTTTTTTGCGAATATGATATAGCGTCTTGAGTTCCTATGACGTCACCGTCGACTCAACTTTTATCATGTTAAAGTCGACTTTTAAAACTAAGTAGTCGTTCAACCCCTACCTGGAACCAATGAAAGCATCTGATCTGCTGACCTCAGAGAGCACTATGTGACATATGGCTGCAGCAGATCAGTGAGAAAGGAGGGGGCAGAACTGCTCAGAGATTTAAAAACATACAGAAGGATTTGAAAATGAATTCAAAAGTGAACTGGGAGCCAGTGAAGGGAGGCCAGAACTGGTGTAATGTGCTCTCTTCTGCCTGTACCAGTTAAAAATAGGGCTGCACTGGAGGTCTGACTGATTCCAAAAAGAAGCGCATTGCAGTAATCAAGCCTGGATTTTATAAAAGTATGTATTACTAAGCATCAGATCATATTATCAATACATTTGTATTACCAATCACATATACCCCAAACTGTGTTGTCGATGCAACACAGTTTCCTGTTACTGACATGTCAAAAATGTACCGCCACTTTGCCTTCAGCAGTCTTTTTACCTTTACAATGTTGAGTTTGGGGAGCAGGTTGCAGTCCGCCAGGGTCAAGGAGTTACCGTCCAGGTAGAGGCGTTTAGACTCAGTTTCATTTGGGTTCTGATCCAGCTCATGAGGGAGCGCTGTCTCAAGGTACCGATTCAGCTTCACCAGAGTTGACAGGAATTTCTTCTCCAGCACTAGAAAACAACAAAACAATTTTTTTGACCAGAACCTTTGTCATCATGTGGGTATTTAAAGAGCAGGTGAAATGAATCTTTGGGTTTTCTCACAGTCATTCAAACCAGGATTGGGATTTTTAATGTACGCCGAAAACGTCCGGAAGATGTCTTCTCCTGCGCCGTTGGATTCTTTGTATCGACAACACAGTTTTGGGTATCTGTGATTGGTAAAACAAATTAATTAATAAAAAGTTGAATGAAAATAGGATAAATAAGATTCATGACTCACTGTGGTGGGGCCAAGGTTTCCTCTAGGAACTCTTCAATCTTATTGGTGTCTGTTTTCACCTCCTTGTTGTAGAGGAGGAAGGGAGGCTGAGATCCAGGAGCCAGATCTTTCAGCACATCTGGTGCCCTGCAGCCAAACAAGAAACAACAAAGAGTCATCACAAGTCCAAGATCTAAACATGAAATGATTTGTTTCCTTGAAATACTTGAAGATGGAGTGGATGTGGTTCAAAAACATGTTAGGATCATATGATCAGATCCAGAGTTTGAAAACACGCCACTCGTTTTTATTTTAAGGATATTAAATACAAAACTTCTTCTTGTGTTGTTGTCAACAGCAACAAAAAAAAAAAGATTGTTCACATTTTCTATTTGCTATATTTTTTAAAAATCATTAACGTCAACGCTGAACATTTCTTTAAAAATAAAAATTTGGATGTGCTCTGAAAACGCAGTGTGAACGCAGGGAGCTGAATGACTGCTGAAATTTGTTGAAGAAGCTGAAGCTGTTAAAGTTAACACAAAAGCTAAAATTTGCTAAAAAAAAAAAAACTGAACGCTTAAATGAGCAAAAGCCAAACACTAAAACCTGCAGAACAGTAGCTAAAATCTGAAAAATATTGTAAGTACTGAAATAATTTAAAAAAGCAGAAAGTTTTCAATGGTTTAGTGTTCTCCGTTCAGGTCAGTGAGAATAAAATATTACAAAAGAAGGTAAGCATGTAAAAAAAGTATTAAAATACAAAAACTAAAAGTGAAATAGCCACAAGTTTAATGAAGTAATAATATGGATGGAAACTAAACAGGAACAAAATTAAAAGTCGCAGAACAGCGTCCTCTGCTGGCAGATAAACATAATGTGGCATAGTGATTGTAAATTTAATTTTAAATTTACTGCTCAGCAGAATAAAGGACAATGTTGAAATATTAAATATTGTCCCGTTTCATACAAGCCACTTATGACTTTGGAAAATTGTCTGCATATTTTGTTTTGTTTTTCCTCTGTAGTGGTTTTGTGATCTGGAAGCCTTGCACTAAAACATTATTCCAGTTTGCCATGAAAATGACGAAGAAGAGAACAGATGCGGAGGTGCAAACAGTTCATATGCCACAAGAACATGAAGTTCTTTGCCAAACGTGTTAAAAAGCAAATGCATTGTTTGACAGATAAAATAAAGATTAACATGCGGAAGGAAAACAAAACATGAAAAGACTCGTTATCTGAAGCAAAGTGCATCACTGATAAACATGTGGAGGTAGTGTGCACAAATTATTCATTAGTCCATTGGTGCTTATTGATCATATGAAAGACAACAAAAATTAAAAACCAAAGCATCATGCAAAAGTCACCCGGGAGTTCTGTGGAGGGAAACGTGGTGAGAATCATCATTAGCCCATCATCAGTTTGGTCCTGAACTAAAAGTTACACAAACACAACTGCAGTTAAACTCTGGCAACAAATACAAAGGAGTTTTCTTCAACTCTTCAGGAAGCAAGTACTACATTAAACGCAAATAATAAGCAATAAAATGATCATTTTTGTCTATAGATAGGTCTATTTTGTTGTTGTTCTTCTTTTCCTTCCCTTCATTGCGTTTTTAATACCTTTTTATTAAAATATGCAAATTTACAAAATTCAAACTGTATTGGATTTTGTTCAGTCGTATTTTTGAAGTTTAGCATTGACATTTAAGGTCAGGTTTGTTATGAGTAATTTTAGAAGCTTGCTTTAGCTGGAATATTAAAAATGAAAGGTCACAAGAGGCAGGAAACGTTGCCCATAAAAAGATCATTCGTCCCAGTTTGGGGAATGACGACTCGTGGAGGAGTCAAGACAACAGTTACAAAAAGCAGCCTCAGAAAATCTGCAAATTCCTGCCATTTAAAACTACTCAGACTCAAAGGTTTACTTGCAGGTTAAGCAAAGCCAAGTACTTTTTACTCTTTGGTACTTTAGCCCAACTGTTATCTTTCCTCAACTGAACAATGTCTGTGTTTAATACAGATAATAGTGATCTACTATAACTTCATGTTTTAATGGTTTGAGCCCAAAATATAAACCAAAAAATGTGTAAAAAATAAATTAATTAAAGAAAACGAGTGAGTATAAAATGTGAAATTGACGTCCATTCAACAATTTCCTGCAGGATCAATAAATTTCTATCTTATCTTATCTTTGGAGGAAAAGGATGTAACTGGGACCCTATGTACATAATTTCGTTTTGTTGGTGCAAACAACAATAAAAAAAAACTCTGAATCTCTGAAATAAGTTTACAACTGTGTGAGATAAATCATGCAGAGGAAGATGATCATGAAGCTCGTGTGTAGCATCATAAAAATTGTGATTGCAAATAGAATAGCAAAGTAAACAACTGTCTCATGCAAAAGCAACTAAATGTAAATGTACCACACGCTGATTAGTTAAATCACTAGAATATTTTTTTAATTGTAGGTAATTTAGATGGCAACAATGTGCTCTAGTGGTTAGCTGGATTAAACTTCTCCCCGATTTATCTGTTAAAATTGTTTAGGCAACTATGTGCAGTAGGTAAAACACTGACTACCATATTTCTCGGATGATAAGGTGCACTTAAAATCCTTTAATTTTCTCAAAAATCAACAGTGAGCCTTGTAATCTGGTGCATCTTCTGTATTAATTCTGGTTGTGTTTACTGACCTCGAACCGATTTTATGTGACTCAAAAATCTGTCAAAATTTTTCCGTTTCGCTTAACGCGCCATATAGTCCGAAAAATACGGTATTCAAAAGTGCTCCACGAAACCCCACAAAAAAACAGAACAATTGTTTTTAATTTAATGCTTGTCTGAGAAAGTAGGGATCCCCCCCACCCTGTTGTGAAGCTGTTGTGAAAGGGATGGTAATTTAAAAAAAATGAGAGGAGTGGTCAACACTTGTGTTTATGAGTTCTACCAGGTTGTCTGATCAGTTCGGCATCAGACGTATTCATCCAGAACAAAGCGAAGAGCCTAATCTGTCATCTCAGCTGCTAATCTGCCTCGTTTTAACTCTCTTTAATCTTGTTTTTGCTGTTGTCTATAACCGCATCGCCATAAAATCTGTTTGCATGTCGTGTGGCGAGTGGCGCCGCGGACACACCCCGAACAAAGAATGAGCTCTTGGGGAAATGTGCTCTCACCTCCTCATGTCGACGGTGGTGAGGGTGAAGTTGACTCCCTTCAACCAAAGAATCATGAAGAGCCTCTGGGAGAAAGGACAGTTCCCGATGCTTTCAGCGTCATCGCTGGCCTGACAGACGAGATCATCACTTTAGATACACGATGGTTGCAAATGAAAAACAATAAATGCTAATATTGAACACGGGTGTTTGAGGTTTTTGTTGTTTTGCGTTGTTGATTTGGGCACACAAGTACACGGGTTCAAACCTGGATAAGATGGCGCAGGTAAGGACATGAAGATTTCAACTGCTCATCAAACACGTTAAAATTTACCTCAATCCAGACAGCTGAAAATAATCACTTGGTAATAATAATAAAAAATGAATTAGAAACATAAAATGTTGTTTGTTTTTTAACCTATTTTGACATATTTGAGGATTTTCCTCCCAAAAAAATCAACTCTTATCACTAAAAAGTTTTGTTTTAGTTAAGTTTTATATAAAACCTGCAGGCCTGCTGAGCAACAATAAAGTTTGAAGAAGAAAAAGCTTCATAATTACATATAAACTTGTAGACAGGACACCTTGTTGGTGCTTTTGCATTTAAAATGTGATCAAGTGATTCTACTCATTGTTTATTTTTTAATAATTAATATTTTTAGGCCTTACCTTGACAAAGAGCTCAATCTTTGGAGCCTCAGCCATCTCTTCTCTCTTTCTCTTTGGCTGGTGTCACTGCAAAGTTTGCACAAAGTGTGTGTCAAATAAGGCAACTATTCTGTTTTTCACCTACAAACGCTGTCGGACACTTTCGCACTGGTAAAACTGGTAATGAAGGCCGTACTCACGCTAGTGATGACTCTCCAAAGCGAACACAAGAACACCGCCTTACGCTCAAGCTTGGTGAATTATTTTATTCTTCTTCCTCTCCTCTTCTGCACCTGTTTCTGTTTTTTTGTTCGTCTCTCGCCACACCTCATGAGCTAGAAGTGGCAGCCTACACCCCCTCTGGATTTACCAGTCAGACCAGCAAATCTGGATTTGTCATCTCTCAGCCTTCCAGCATATTCAGGGCAAGAATTGTAACATTTTTGCTTCAGTCAGCGAGCTTTAGTCTGTGTCTGCTTGCTCTTCTAATGAATCCTAATCACAAATACTAAGTCTGTGTGATGGTGAATTGTATGTTTGCCAACAGGTCATGTAACGATGATCATGTTGTGGCATTCTGGAGGTTGACCTTGGCTGACAGCATTTATGAAAATGCCACTGTAGCATTCTTCGATGGCTGCCCTTTGTTGGCAAAACAGCACAGAAAAACTAGTGAGGAACAGATGAACACAAGAAAAAGCTCGAGCAACCATGAGATGTCCCAAAAACAAGAGACTGAGCAACTAAAAACAGTCTTTGAATGTCCTTGTGCCGGACTCCAAAGGACATTTCAACGAGGCCTGTCACGATAACAAATTTTGCTGGGCGATTAATTGTCTCAGAAATTATTGCGATAAACGATAATATTGTTTGAAATTTGACAATAATGAGTAATTATTGTCAAATTTAAGAAAACGTATTTGTTCATTTGTTTTGCATATTGTCCCTTTTTTCGACCACCAGATGACAGTATAAGACTGTTTGAACCGATGGATGGATAGTGAGGGAGCGAGCAGCGTGTCTCAGTAAGAAAAATGGGAGGGAGGCCCCTTGACGTGACATGGGATGTCTCTCTTCGATTCTCAAAATGGCGGATGCTCGGTGTGGTTTGAGTTCTCTAGCATAGCATTTTTCACACAAAGCTTGTAATAAAATATAGCTTCGACAAGACGAAGGTTTTTTCCCGAGGTCGGCCTGTAAGCTTAGCTCGTAGCTTAACTTCTCAGCTTAGCTACTTTTAACGATCCAGAAATGTGATTTTGGACGGTTAAAACAGATTTTAAAGAGAAAAGAGAAAAAAAGAGAAAGAGACGGGTCATTGAAGAGCTCCGGCGTTGAGCTTCTCATCATCCGGTGTCTTCAGTATAGAAAGAGATACACGAAGAAACAATAAAGCCAATACATGAAAATGAGGTTGATAATTTTCATTTATCATGCGATTAATTGATTTATTTTTTATTGTGACAGAATTTCAACAAATTAAACGTGCATATTTGGACCCTATTCACACTTTGTATTTACCGTATTTTCCGCCGTACACGTCGCACCGCCGTATAAGTCGCATCAGTCCAAATATATCTAATAAAGTGGAAAATAACATAAATACATCGCGTCACTGTTGACAACCTGGAAATGTGGGCCGGTGTTGTGCCAAAAATTTGGCTGCCAAATGGCGGTCGCAGGAGCGTGCATGGGAGGACTTTAACAAGAATTTAACAAGGTTAACGCTTAAAAACAATTATTTGTTTGCTCGACATTATAGCAAATGTGTGTTTCAGTTGGAATTTTCCTTAATAAATGCACTTTCATGGTCAAATCAGCTGCATTTCGCCGTGCCGCCCAGGCGAAACGCAGCTGATTTAACGTTTGCTATAAGTGTTCTGGAGCGAGATGAAGGTGACTTGGTATGGCAAGCCAAATGTTTCATTAATAGCCACTTTTACCTATTAATGCAACACTTGGCTTGCCATATACCTCAAGGGCCCTATAGCGGCTGAAAATGTTATGTTCAATATTTTCCAGGTCAGAATGAATGAAAACGGTCAGATATCAGTCAAAATTTGGGTTATAAATATGGGGGGAAAACATAAATATGTCGCTTTGCCATATAAGTAGCAAGGCATGCAACTTTATGTAAAAACAAAAATTGTGACTTAAATGGTGAAGAATACCAGTATTACCAGTTTTGGGTTGTCTGATTGCAAGTGGTCAGCTCTGGCTCAGAGGGTTCACTCATGGACGTTCAAAAAAAGTTTTTGCTACTTGACTAAGCTCAGTGTCTGAACAAAGAGAGGAGATGTTAACCAGTAAAAACCCAGTGCAGTGAAACAGTGCTTTGTCAGCTGTTTTCAGCTGGGAACAAAAGGTTGTTGCTGCTTTTAATTAGCGGTAGGTGAATATGCTCCGACTGTTGCCCTGTGATTGACACAGTGCATGTTCCTAATGGTGACCACAGCAGGTGTGATCAGCTCTAAGACAATCAGAGCAAACAATAAGAGAAACTCCATGCAGCATTTCTGCACTGTGAGTCATAAATTCCCATCAAATCTGATATTTTTTATTATAAAGGATTCTGACAAACAGTTCATTACTCTTTCAGCTAAATAAAACCAAAATTTAAAAAAAAAATCTATATTTTCAGAATATTCCAGGAGTCTCTGTTTAAATTTTCTTGAATCAGCCAGCTGATGCAGATTTTTTTTTTTTTTTTTTTTTTTTATAAAATCCTGCAAAAACAGTAATAGCGCTGCTGTTTATGTGGCTTATGTGACTACCAAATATATGCAGACCACAACCGAAGGTGGTTTTCAATGCACACTGAGGCCGTTCAGATCTGTCATTATTCCTACCTGACTGTAATTTGATTTCTCAGGACAAAATTAAGAGTCCGTTCTGAACGTCAGCCGTGACTTGAGGGGCACCAGTAAAAGATGAGATGTCATGGCCAAGGTGTGCACAGTTGCAAACGTTTCCTATTTCAAACTGGATTTCCATATACTTATTTCATGATTACATTTTCACGAAGACTTGCAACCTGTCCAGGGTGCCCCCCCGCCTCTCGCACAGTGACTGCTGGGCATGGGCACCAGTGACCCCCCCGTGACCCAAAAAGGAAGAAGCAGGTAAAAGACGATGGATG